CTTTCTCGTGGCCTCTTTATTTCCTGCTTCCCCCTCTCTGGGCTGGAGCGCACGGCCAGGCCCTGGCTCGCGTGGCTGCAGCAACCACACCGCGCGGGTCCCCCAGGCTGACTCCGGCGCGGGGGCGACCGTCCGGGGCCCGCGGGGAACCGGGGACCGCCTTGGGCTCTGGGCGCCTGGAGGGGCCGCGCCTCCCGCGGTCCTGGGGCCGGGGAGGCGGGGGCTGCCTAGAGGGCCGGCGGGGACCCGGGGCCGTTTCCCGTCTTCGCTTTTTCCTTCCTGCCGCTCGCCCCCCCCCCCCCCGCCCCCAACAGCCCCGGGTTTTTCATTTGGGGCGAGTGGAGAAAGCCAGGGGCAGGGATGACCACGTCCAACTGTTGGTTTCTCCCCATGGTTCCAGCCAGATGGCACCGGCGGGGACCCAAGAAGTAAATGGGGTCAGGTCATGGGGTTGTTGGAAAGCCCTGGCCGGCAGCGGGCCGGCCGCCTGGTAAAAGGCGCCGGGAGGGGACAAGAATCTGGGGCTGGGCGGAGGCCAGCCACGGCGCGCTCGGGCAATTTGTGACATTAGCAGGTACAAAAGAGAAGTCTGGGTTCTGGCCGACGACTAGAGACTGCCCAAGGAGCGATTTGAATACGGATAGAATGGGAACCAAACTTTTACGCATCTTCAGGAAACACAGACCTCTCAGGCAGGCAGCCTCTTTAGGCTTTGGTGAGGGTGCTGCCTCGTTTCCGGCATAAAAGGTCGTGGCTTGTGGCTCAAAATGCGGATCTACACTGCTTAGCAGATTTGTTCGCCTATAGTGGGGGAGCGGCTTTCCGAATGAGTGAAACAATTCTACAAAGTTGCAGTTCAGTGCTTTCAACAGAGAAGTTACAGAGGTGGAACCCGTGGTAATTCTGAAACCGATGTATTTAATGACAGATCGAATTAGAAACGAATACAATTGAAGGTAGCTTTTTACTAACCAAGGCTGACATACTGGCAAAATATCATGCCTCCAAACCTCCATTATTTCCGTAGTGTTACACTGCCAGGGATGAAGCATTGAGGGCTGGGATCTCGAGGACCTGAGGTAGAAATAGAACACGGACAACTGCTGCCTGAAGTTCTGTGGGATCCTGTTGGCTCTGTTTAGTTCTTTTTTTTTTTAAGTTTGTTTGTTTGTTTATTTATTTATTTTGAGAGTAAAAGAGGGAGAGACAGAATCCCAAGCAGGTTCCAGGCTGTCAGGGCAGAGCCGGACATTGGGGTTGGACTCAGAAGTGGTGACATCATGACCTGAGCTGAGATGAAGTCAGATGCTTAACCAGCTGAGCCACCCAGGCGCCCCCCCTCCCCCCGCTCTGTATATTTCAGTGGATTTAAAGAATAATATTCCTGCTTATGTTAAGTCATCCTGGCAGCATCTTGTTTCCAAACGGATCCTGATGATGGCAATAGCCGACCTTGACGTCGTACCACCATCAGCCATGATCTTCTTCTATGCAGTCATGGCCGTCAGTCACCACCATAGCTATCAGATGATGATTATTGCCTCTTGCAGGTGGGTAAAATAAGACTCAGAGGGTCAAGTATCCTACCGCCATGGTGTCACCCACGCGTTACAAATGAAGCAGGTCTGAAAAGCTGGCAGAGCACCATGGGAGAGAAGAGGACCACAAGACACCCAATATGGCCAGTTGGGTAAAAGGCCTAAAGAGGTTTGAAGGCTTGGAGGAAGTCACAAAATACGTGCAAGAAGCACACTTGAGGCTAAAACTCAGGCCTCAGGACTCAATTTCACAGACATTCCATTCTAAAGGCATTAATCCAAAGCCTTAAATGATATGGAAATTTTATACCATAGTAGAGGCATTATTTCTGCCAACATCGGCACAGTGGATTGCAAAGGCCAGAGGATTGAAAACACCAATGACATAATGAGAATTGAACATCATCCGGTTACTGAGTGCTATATCAGCAAGTTCCAAGGGTCTTTTGCATGCCTCTTAACAGCCTATAGCCTAAAACTGAAGTGTTCAATACAGACAAATACCCAGATTGAAACTCAGGCAGTGAATTACATACACAACAGATCAATGAACACCGCAGATCTTGTCAGACTCATGAATAATTAAATGTATTTTTATACTGC